AAAAAGAAAATTTAGACAGAATATAAGAAATATCTATATACATATACATATATACATATATATATATATATACATATACAAAAAAATTATTCTCCTGACCATCTTCCATCTTTCCCTAATTCAAACTTTACAAAGATTCGATTAGTAGATTAATACTTATATCTTTTTATCCCATATTTTTCATTCAAGCAGTACAAACATACATATTTTTATACGATTATTTCTTAGAGCCTTGAACTGAAACGTTGAAATTAATTGTTACAGGCAATTCAACCTCCTCGCCATTAATTTCAACTTTGATTCTGCTATTTGGAAGAGATGCTGTCCATCCATAGCCGGAAGAAAGTTTCTGAGGTTTTGCATCAATGGTGTACAAGATTTCATCCTTTGAAGAAGAAGATGAAGGTTGTGGTGGTGGTGGTTGCGGTGGTGATGATGATGATAAGACTTCACCATTTTTTGTTGATTCTTCTTTATTATCTTCTTTTTTTTCACTTTCATTTTGTTTATCTTCATCCTTTTTTAAATTAGATTTAGAAATAACCAATCTAAGGTCTTTAGCACTAGATAAAAAGCTTTTTGAGGTAGGAAGATTACTAGATTGTTCATTTTTCTAAATATAACAAGTTCATAAATTAATAAATTAATATTTAATATTATTAAAAAATATTTATAATATACTTTATAAAGATATACCTCAGCTTTTGTCTTTTTACTTCTAGAACCTTTAGAAACGGCCGAGGAAGAAGAGGTAGTAGAAGCTGCAGCTTCAGCTTCAGCTTTTGCTACTTCAGTTTTAGTTTTAGCAGCACGTTTTGGGTTTATTTTACGTTCAACAGCACCAGATTGTTCCTCAGTGTTCGACTTTCTTTTACGTGAGGAAGCAGTAGGGTTAGTGGTAGCGGTGGCGGTGGTTTTCTTCTCTTCTGCAACTTCAGTTGTCATTTTATTTTTTTTTTTTTAATAGGAAAAAATAAAAAAATTTAAAATAAATTTCCTTGATTTAGAATATTTATTTATATAGTATTTATAATAAAATTTGTGGGAAAATTTTTTTTGGAAGAATTTATCACACATAAATATAATAATTCGAGATTATCACTATTCATGTGATAAAAATATTGTATCATTAATTGTAATGGAACTGATAAAAAACTATAACGTGATTGTGATATTAACGGTTTTCAATGCCTCTTTCTATATTGTGATTATTTTTAGTGTTTTTTTTTTTGATTTCATTATTAGTAAGAACCAAACCTATCTGCTTTTTGGTAGGGTTGATAACCTTTTCATGGGATAGCACCACTAGATCAGCGTACCATCTCATAGGTTATTTATAGATGACCAAAAGACTGCTAGACTTTACTAGATTATTGCTTTTCTTGAAAGTAAGCAAAGGGAAGCCATAGACGGGCTGAATGTTGATGCCTTTTAATAATTTTTTCAAATCTTCAGCCAATTAAAATTTTGACCATTAGATAATCTCGTCTTGTTAATCAGGTACTTATCTGTACAAATTATTGTGGCAGGAGATTCTTTGAGAGGTACCCACTAACTTTTTGCTATCTTTAACTTGTTCTGGGCAAGGACCACAGGTTTGTTTTCCTCTCATGCTAAAATTTTTATGCAAATATTGTTTGAGAAATGTACATATACTTGTGGAAATATTTTTAAAAGCTACTATGTAGTTATCCGCAAAAAAATATCCGCAATCACCAAATTGATTTCTAAATATACTTAACCCACCAATAAAAATTGCAGTTGCGGATGATATTTTTTTGAATGATTATTTTAATTTCTTAGAAAATGAGATTATTTCTATATAAAAAAACTAATTATATAAGTCCCATAATGGAACCCAAGAGGTACAAGCATCTTGAGAAAAGAACAAGGAAAGAAGATCAGATCTTATGTAAATTAACCGATACTCAAGCATCTAAGAGAAAATTACATATGAAATTTACCAAGAAGGGAAAGTAAAAGGGTATTAACACAAAATCGTAAAGAGCCTAAAAAAAACAAAGGAGGAATAATAAATTAGAATCCACAGGTCATCTTAAGTTTTTTATGCTGGTTTTGGACGTGTGAATTCATCTTTACAAATGGATGAATATGATCCATAACAGTAGGTGTCAATATTAGAATGATATTAATATAACTTTAATTTCTGGAAATTTCAAATTTCCTAGTTTCAATTATTAGATATCCTATAGTATTGGATTTTCTTACAACATCCACAATATGATTCATATGATCTACACTTGTTTTTCGATAGTTTCTTGATTAATCCAAAGCTACCATCACATTTGAATTTGATATACTTTCATATTCATAATATAATAACAAATATAAATAAAAATTTATTTTTACTCGCATCGTCTTCAAATGCTTTTCACCTTCATTTAATTAATCCTATTGAAAAACGTACTAAGGGCTTCCATATTGGATGCCAAAGAGATGGACTAATATAATATACTGCCTGTTGATCAGGATGCGCTAAATGCATACTTTATGCTCAATCATAGCTATAGCGAGCAATAGCATTAAAATCGGAATATTTTCATCAATGAATAAATAATTCTGACCATTACCTTTTTGTTGCTTCCCTGCCGTTTTTGTACTTTTGCCATAATAATTTCTTTCCAATTTTGCTTTTGACAGATGATTTTTATGTCTTCTAAGTATATATTGTGAAATGAAAATGTTGACAGGTATCACATAAATCTATTTTTAGGCTCATAATTTAGATCTAAGGAATTAGTAATTGTAAAAAGTATCATCTTTTAATGATTTCAGTATACTGTCTTCTCCAAGGCACCTTCGATGGACAAATTTACAACTATTTCTGCTGGTAAGGATATAAGTATAGGGTCGATTGATTTACATTTCTCCCTGGGTTTGGTAACCATAATTTTCAAGGAAATTCGCCATTTTTGTTTTCCATCGAGGCATTCTTTTAGTATTGCCATAGACTTTTGATATAAACCTAATAATTCTAAGCATATTGGAATAAGTTTTTTGACAGAAAGTCGTATTATGATCGCAGTTGTAGAAGGTTCTGGATTCTGTTCATACCTATTACTCCATCACCCATTGCTTTAAGTTAGACGCCAAAGGATATCTTGCTCTGACTTGGAAAGGGTTTGAAAGGATTCACTTTTTTTGAATTTTTGAAGAGCAGTCACAATTACCATCTAAAAAATAGATTACTTATTTATGTTCGCTAGAACTACTTTGTAGCTTTTTTTAATTAAATTAATAGTTTGGTTACTATACAGTTTAAAAAGAGGCATTTAATGGAATAGTTATGCCGATTAGTTTGTTGCATTTGATTTAATTTATGATTTACTTTGATCAATTGAAGTATTAATCATCTCCAAACTGCCTCCGATTTCTTCGTTTTGCCATACATTATCTCTCGAACAGCTTAATTTTGACCAAATCTTCCTGTTAAATGACTCTTAACATTATCCATAAAATCCGTACTGTCCAACTGATACATCACACCCATAGGTCAAGGTAGCATGTGCTTTATGTATTGTCTATTCCTTGTTAACATCAGAATACACACTCAAAACCTTATAATCATCCTTTGATAACTGCAAGGCATTTTCAAACCATTTATGAACACTATTTGTTTATCTTTATTAACATTCTTTATCCATCCTATGGTTCACAATTAATAAGATTTATTGATTGAGTGTCTGAAAGATCCATCGAAAAGATATTAATATTAACATTTTAACATGCTGTCAGGAATTACCATAAAAAATGTAATGTGGAAAACACTATGCCTTGATTTCTTCCAAATGAATGGCTTTTTTCATCTTTCTCAGATGTCATAATAATAAGTGGGCCGTTACGGAGAGAATGAACTATATGGATATATAATCAATTATCAATCATGTAATACCAAAATACGTAAAAATCATTTTGAAAACACTTCAACTCCGTTAAGAAACATAATTTTTTTCTTTATTAAGAATCTTATTGTTTTACTTGTGGTTTAGGTATTACCTGTTATAGGAGAAAAATGAATGATTTTTAATTTTAATATAATAGTAGTGGCAGCAGACGAATAAGTTATAATATTGTCACATAAGTGAATCACATATCTAAAATAGAATTCAAAATTATTATAAGGTCAAGGAGTTAGACGGTATATATATAGAAATCTGTACGTGTCAATAATGATTAATTAAATATCATAAATATCATAAAGGATGGAAATACAATATTTGCGGAACACAAGTATATTTACCAATTACTATTGGTGATTACATAAATATAAGAATGGATGATTACGACTACCAATTAAGAATACATATTGTTTAAAACAAACACAGAGAAAATATCATCATTTCAAAAAGTCAAGTTAATCCTGCTCTTATTAGTAACAACTAATATTTAGATATTTAGATGTACTATATATATATTCATATATACCCATCTATTTAAAATTTAATTTTTTTTTGGAAATTTTATAAAAAAAAATTAACAAAGTAATTATTCATCGTTGGAATCCGAATACATTCATCAAGCAATCAATTATTCATCAGGATATATTAGAAACTCAGTAGTTCCAGTGTATCGAATAGCAAAAGCCTTGCCATTGCTAGTTGGTTGAGAAAATGCCAATTCATTTGGTTTAAGAGTATATCCAAAAATGAATTGTGATCTATACATAATTGATATTAATATTAATATTATATATATTAAATATTTTTTATAATATATAATTATTACCTGACATGATTTATTAATTTTGTCGCAATCCCTTTTCTTCTGAATTTTTCACATACCCATAATCGGTTGATTCCACAAACTGCTTGTACCGGAGGATCAACACTACGATAATGATTTTATTACTATTATAGAATTGTTATGAGAATTATTAGAAATATATACCTGCACATAACCGTAGATCCAATTTGTTTTTTAACCTTAGTATTACCATCATCACCATCATCATCATCATTATTATCAACCACAACTCTATATGCTTTCTTGATAACCTCGGTAATGACACATCCAATGATTTTTCTTTTATTGTAAACATACAAAAATATTTTACCATGTTTTAATCTTTTTTCGTTTAATTCTGATGCATTTAATTCTGTGTTGATTATCTCAAGAATTTGAAAGATCTTTAATAAATATAACAAAATTTTTAATAAATATAAGATTTTTAATAATAATCATGATAATAATAATAATTCTTATTATTTTTATTTACTTTTTTTTTTTCAGCATGACTTGATTGATCATATGAAAACATTATCACAGAGTGTTCTAGATCAGAGTCAGAATTGGAATGGTTAGGTAAATATAATTGGTTTTTTGAAAAAAAATTTGAAATAATATACAAATTTACCTTTATTATCTTTTAAACATTGTTCCAATATAACTTCATTTTTGTACGACTAAATTAATATTAGATATTACTACTGTTAATATTTATAATTATAATATTCTCAATATAATCACAAATATACCAACTGAATAAATAATTCCTCCAATAACAGCTCGATGATATTTCGAATGTAAAGCATCATCTTCTGATATTCCTCTACTATAACACATTTTACATTCAGGACAAGTGTAGAAACTAAAATTTTTTTGTCCAAGCTCAAGAAATAATTGTTCGCCACTATGTTTCTTTTGTTTTATTGAGGTCATGGATTTGTCAGTAGTAGTTGTAGAGGAAAAAGAAGTTTTGAAATGTGGAATTATATATTTATTTTGTCGGCTATAATTACTACTACTATTACAACTATTATTAATGGTGTTATTATGAATTAATAACAAAGGTTTAAAAAAGTCTTGAATTGACTTTTGATTAGAGTTCAAAGCATTTGTTGCAGTTTGATCGATGAAACTTTTATTGATAAAACTATTTTCATTGTTGAAATTCTCCTTTGTAATCAATGAAGCCGTTTGTATCGAGTCTTTAATGAAATGTTGTTCTGAAATTAATGATTTGCTTTAAAGTATCCAATAGTCATATATACATTTGATTTAGTAAATAATTAGATAAAGCAAAGACGATGTATGTTTATGTACCTTGATTCTATGAGCTTTTGTTTACCGTAGGTTACTTTGACTTTAGGCTTATTACTATTGAATTGATATATTGAAAGATAACGACGCATAAATAAAACTAAACCAATATTTACAAATCACAAGATGAATAAATTCATTTATAAATACTTTGAATGTAAAGGCTCTTCAGATCTCATTTTCTTATTTGGAAAATAATTCATTGCAACGCGATTTTGAAGATCATATTACTATTTACTATTTCGTGTTTTATCTGGTTTTTTGTGCCCCAAAATTACCAACTTTACCCCCTCATTTTCCATTGTTTTTTACAATAGGAAAGATTTCTGGCAAAAAAATTTTTATTTATAAGTTTGTTTCTAATTAGATTTATTCCAGATAATATATGCTCTATTGAAATCAAATTCTTTACTTGGTGGACTTTCCAAGAATGCTCGCATCAAGTTTTGCATCTAATGAATTTCTCATCTTATTTTTAATCATATTTTGATGAGAAAATCCTCTTTCACAATCTACAGGCGAAAAAGGAATAATATATACTATTTAATCAATTTAATTAAGGGTAGAGTATACATAACGCAAATTTTACTATGATACAATAATTTTTTGGCTGCCAATCATTAAAAATATTTAGTGTGTATACCATATTGTATATACAGTATATATATGAATCATTGAGAAAATAAATTTGAATTTTCTTATATCTATAATAAATAGTTAGTTGTTAATGAATAAACAACAAATTATGTTTTTAACAAATAGAGTTATTAATAAATGAATATATATATATATATATATGTATATAATTTTCTTACAGCTTATTATTGACAATTTGTTGTAAATAGTTTTGTGATCCTTTATTTTATCTCATTTAATGTTTCATCTGATATGTTTTTCACATTTTTTCAACTAATACCTTTTTTAAAATAGAGCATGCAGTATTCCGCCTTTGTTAAGGACATTCAATGGCAGCTATTACTATTATTGGTTTTATCATCTTAAACATTATTGAAGTAAAAAAGTGAAAAGTGAACCTAAAACTATACTTGAAAATGAAATTTCTTCAACTAATAACTTCTCATATCTTATAAACTTCGCAGTGATCCTAGGTGATCCTCAGAGTATATATTCAGAGGAATTTATTTCAACTATTATGGGAGTTTTTTAAAATAAAAAAATTTTTTAACGTGGAAATATCACATTAACTTGTTTGTAACATATATGAATTGATCAACATGGAGGTTCTAATTTTTTTTCCAGAATTGATTTCCAAATTTGGAAAAAACCCTGACTGTATAGTATTATACATATAGTACTGATCTGCCCATCTCTATGCCCATCCAATGGTAAAGAAACTGAGTCAGAGAGCAATAAATGAAAGAAATAAATTCAATGATTGGTAATTTGATCATAGAAGAAACCTTATACTTTTTGACCTCATTTTTCTCCCTTTGATGTTTTTAGTATAGAATGCATAAAGCTGAGTTAAAATATACTTTGCTGTTTTAATAAAATTTTGCCCACATTGGGCTTTCAATTTCTAATTTTGTACACAAATATGGTATCAGGTGTATAATCAAAAACAAATGTTCCTGGTTCTTTGTGTCTACAGATTCATGAGTTCCAACCCACTAAAAATAAAAATAATACTATTCTTGTTGTTTGTATTGTATTTGCCATTGCCATTGTATTTAATGAATTTTGAAATAAATTCTCTGGAAATTGAAATTGAACTAACTCTCTGCTCTGTCATTATTCTCTGTTGTTTCTATATTGCTCTGGTTCTTCTCAATTATTTATTATTTTAATTGTCTTATTACAAATTGATTTGGTGATTTCAATGATAATAGTGTAGTTATCCATAAAAAATATCCACAAATTTCGTGAAACCTCAGAATATCCAATTTTTATTGGTGAGTTGGGTGCGTGTTATCCTTATTTAGAAATCGATTTGGTGATTGCGGATATTTTTTGTGGATAACTACATGATAATATTTCAATGGTCAAAATTATTCCGATTTTGATGGTAGAAAGTAGAAATTAATTATGCCACTCATTATTAAAAATATAAGTGTAACACCCCTTTATGAGATGTGTAACCCACTTTATGACAGTGTCAAAATACTTTGGGCTGCATGTATAGTTTTAATATCCTTATTCTCCTTTTTATTTTTATGCACTTTATTCTAATCTTTTTTTTTAAAAAATACAAACTTTTCACTCCCTTTTTGTTTGCACACCCACCCTATTTGAATTTTCCGACTTGTAAATTTACAAATGCTAAATTTTCATTCCAAGAATTTTACTGATGTAAATGGTATTTATCAAATATTCATTAAATTTTTCTCTGCAATTTTTACATAATATTTTTCTGTCAATATAACATCCATTTTAATTAATTCCTTATTTAATCAAAATCTTTTCTTCATTTTCCTTTCTAAATATATTAAGAAATTATAAAAAATTTTACACATGTCAAAACTGTAAGTTTAATAATAAAAAATGTAATACTTATATTGGTGTTTATGCAATGTTACCTCAAAATAATTTCCCAATGTAATCATTTATTTCATTTATTGTTTCATGAAATTTATCAAAATAAATCCTTTCTTTTCTTAGATAAGTTTTTAGTGTCTGAGTGTCATTTATTTTGAAAATATTATGAGCAATTTTTTCTCTTTGTTCTTTCTTCAAAATACTTCTAATGATGCTATAATTTTTGGGTTCCATAGATCTGATGTAAATTAGCTTCATATTAACTATTTTTATATAGGATATTATATATCACTTAAGATAACAAATGAGATATTATAAAACTGTTAATTATAATCACATTACAAATGACTAAATTTTGATCCCTGGTCTGGTTTAAATATCATATGATTTGATTTTTTATCATATATATGGTTGCTTGGTCATAATCATGTAGTTATCCATAAAAAATATCCGCAAATTTCGTGAAACCTCAGAATACCCAATTTTTATTGGTGGGTTGGGTGCGTGTTATCCTTATTTAAAAATCGATTTGGCGATCGCGGATATTTTTTGTGGATAACTACACGATAATGGCTTGGTCTATTTCTGCAGTCCTGTTTACTTCGTTGACAATCATTTTGTCAACAATCATTTCATCGACACCCATTTTGTCAAAAGTTCATTTTGTCAAAAGTTTGTTTCATTGAAAGTTCATTTTGTCAAAAGTTCATTTTGTCAAAAAGTTCATTTTGTCAAAAATTATTTCATCGAAAATTATTTCATCAAAATTGTTTCATCAACAATCACTTCATCAAAAATTGTTTCATCAACAATCACTTTGTCAACAATCACTTTGTCAACAATCATTTCATTGGCTTATGTATCATACTAATGATAAATGAGGTGATGATAGTGATGGCAACAATATTGACATTGAATATTTTAGCATTGATAATAATTATTGTTTTTTAGTAGAGTGTGTGGATCAGACAAATTGGTAATATTCCTTTCATGATACATAAATTTGAGTCATTCGTATACTTGCAAACTAATTAGCACTCTGATTTTACCTGAATTTTTCTTTCTTAATTACAATCATACAAATGCAAATTATACTAATAATAAATAAATTAAATGGTAGTAGTAGATACTAAACAGTGCAATGCATAAGCTACGCTAAATCATTAAATTGAAAATTAGTTTTTGATATTATTAAAATCGTATGATTAAATGGGTCTGACAATCAAGTAAGGTTTCTAGCCCAAACTGTTTCTCAAAGCTCAAACTATTTTGTCGATTTGAGTTTTTCAACGGTTTTTATATAGAAGTAGGTATATTATAGCAGAAACTTTACAATAAAGCTATCAGACGAATTTTGTGCTTTAATTACAAAAGTATACTTTAATAATAATATCATGGATTAAAATTTTGTGTTAAAACATAGCTCTAAATCTTTAATTAGTTTCGACTAAATAAAATAAATAAACATTTAAAACCAAAGTTATCCACTAATTAAATTAATATGTTAGTAAACCTATTTCACATAAACATAATAAACAATTGTTATCATCAATTAATTCACGCTTTTCCAAACATAATTGGTGACACTTTAATACATGAAAATTAACATGAATTGTTGTAGAAATGAACTGTCGACGAAATAAACTTTCGACGAAATGATTGTCGATGAATGATTGTCGATGAAATAATTGTCGACGAAGTGATTGTCGACGAAATGATTGTCGACGAAATGAATCAGACCCAATATTACTTTAGTTTTAATGTAATAGAGAGATTTTCTCAAAAGAATTATTTGTTGTAGAGTTCTATTCTTTTTAAAACATGTACTTTACTATGCTCGCGAGGAATTTGTCCACTATGATCATTTCTAAATTTAGACTAGATCTTGACCATCGTATCTAAATTTGGCAGTAAGAAAACCAAAATCACGTGAAGTCCTATTTTTTGAAAAAATTTATTGAAATTTGGCTCGCATGGCACAGCAATAGGAGGTCTTTAGACCAAGCCAACCATATTAATATTAACCAAAATTCTCTGAATTATTCGTTTTAGTTTTATTTGAATTGTCCATTTTATTTGAATTATTCGTTTTATTTGAATTATTTTAATTATTCGTTTTATTCGTTTATTCGAATTATTCGTTCTATTCTAACTATTCGTTTATTCTAATTATTCGTTTGATTCGAATTATTCGTTTTATTCGAATCATTCATTTTATTCTAATTATTCGTTTATTCTAATTATTCGTTTTTATTTTATTAGAATTATTCATTTTATTCGATTCATTCGATTCATTCGATTCATTCGATTCGTTCGATTCATTCGATTCATTAGAATTATTAGAATTATTGGAATTATTCGTTTAATATTAATTCGTTTAATTCGTTTTATTCGTTTTATAAATATTAATTCGTGATCCATCAATGAATGGGGGGTGTCATACAAGTAGATCAACAAATCTAATTAATATCATTATGATAAATTAATATGTACGGTTTTTTTAATGGATGTTACTAAGGCTCCTAACAGATCTGATCTGATCTGATCTGAAATCTGATCTGATCTGTTTGATCTGTATATATACAAATTTATGATACCTATTAATATCCTTTATTGAAAAAATCCAATAATATAATAATGATAAATTTCTTTGCATAAAAATACCTTTCAAATGTTTTTAATGATGGTCTTAGTGATAATTTTAATGATTCTTATTAACAATTTTCTTTATTGCATGTGCCTCAAAATTTGGTTAAAAGGGGTATTAAAAAGTTGAAAAAAAAATTTGATTTTTTCTATTTTTATGTAAAAAAAAATTATATTTTTTATATTATCTTTATGCAAAATAAATAAGCACAAAATTAAGCAAATTAAAGTTAATTTCCAAATATGATATTAATATCATATTTTGTGTTGTGTTAAAATATAAATTGATGTGACACAAAAATTATTGATCTCTGAGAATTATCTGATCTGGTTTGATCTGATCTAATCTAATCCGAAATCTGATCTGGTTTGATCTGATCTGATCTAATCCGAAATCTGATCTGATCTGATCTGTTCAGAGCCTTAGATGTTACACGGAATACTATAAGGGAAAATTTACCAATTTAAAAAAAAAGAAAAAAAAAAAACAGAATTATATTCAGAAGATACTCTGCTGTAATACTAATATACATTTGAAATGTTATTGCATGGCGAATTTCTAAGGAAACAATAATAAAAATAAAACTTCCAAAAGACCCGTCACAATATAACAAATGTTGATTGTGATTTTTTCATCACTGGTATTTGTTACCTTCAAAGACCTCTCTGTACCAATAAACTAGATATATTATACATTTCATACTCAAAGTTGGAAACAATACCTCTCTTTTTCACTGACTAGTAGCATTTTGAAAAATGTGTTTTTATTATATCCGTTACACTATTGGCAATTTTTGATGAAGACGTTTTCATCAATGGTGTTTGTTACCTTCAAAAATCTCTCTGTACCGATAAACTAGATATATTATACTATTCCATATCCAAAGTTGGAAATGATATCTCTCTTTTTCACTGACTAGTAGCATTTTGAAAAATGTGTTTTTATTATATCCGTTACACTTTCAGCAATTTTTGATGGAGACGTTTTCATCAATGGTGTTTGTTACCTTCAAAAATCTCTCTGTACCGATAAACTAGATATATTATACTATTCCA